GGGGGGGGGGGGGGGGGGCTCACGTCTCCGGGCAGAAGAGCTTTGTCAGGAGGTTCAGGATCTTCTGCCGCAGGTCCCACTTGTCGCCGATCCTGCGCAGCTGCAGGGCGCACTCCGCCACCACCTCCCGCTCTGCGGGGGACGACAAGCCGTCAGACACACGCACCGCCGCCTGCCCGCACGCAATTACCTTCAGTTTTAATGACATCTTGGCAATACTGTTTTGGGGTTCGTCTTTTTTTTTCATTTTTTCCCCCCTTTTCTCAGTATTGCCCATCACCACCACCATCCCCGGTACCCTCCCGGCGTTCACCCGGGTGGCGCTGCCCCCGCTCCGGGTGCTGGAGCCGGGGAGGGCAGCGGTCGTTGGGGGAGAACCCCCCCCTTGCCCCGAGTGTGTGTGTGTGTGTCCCCACCTCACCCCGCTCCCTTCACACACACCCCCCCGTCCCCCGGTACCTGCTGGAGCGGCGGGGGGCGTCGCTTTCCGTACGGTCCGACCGGGTAACATCGCGACGCCGGGATGTGGATACAGGACCGCGGGGATGGGCACCGGGGGAGGCGAGACGTACGGTGGGGCGATGGGCACTCGACGGCGGCGGCGGCGGAGTGCTGGCCGAGGGGGGCGGAGCGCGGCAATAAGAAGAGCGGCGGCGCGGCGGGGCTTTCCCCGCGCCGTGACGTAGAAAACCGCGCGGGAATCCCATCCCCCGCCTCCTTTCCCCCTCCCCCCCACCCCCCCATACCCCTCCCGGCACCGGGCGGGCAGGTGGCGGCGTGCCGGAGCCCGCCCCGGGCAGTGCGGGACGGGCGGGACGGGCGGGATGCGGGCACAGCGCCTCCCCTGCGGGACGAGGAATGGCGGGACGGGGGTGTGCGGGAACGGGGGGAGATGGGGGATTGGGAGCGCTGGGGGGAGAAGAGGTGGAAGGATGGGGTGTGCTTAGAGAAGGGGAGATGGAGGTAGGTGTGGGGTGGGCTTCTGGTAGGGCAAGAGAGGTAGAAGGATAGGGTGCGCTCAGGGAAGAGGAGATGGAGGTTCGTCTTTTTTTTTCATTTTTTCCCCCCTTTTCTCAGTATTGCCCATCACCACCACCATCCCCGGTACCCTCCCGGCGTTCACCCGGGTGGCGCTGCCCCCGCTCCGGGTGCTGGAGCCGGGGAGGGCAGCGATCGTTGGGGGAGAACCCCCCCCTTGCCCCGAGTGTGTGTGTGTGTGTCCCCACCTCACCCCGCTCCCTTCACACACACCCCCCCGTCCCCCGGTACCTGCTGGAGCGGCGGGGGGCGTCGCTTTCCGTACGGTCCGACCGGGTAACATCGCGACGCCGGGATGTGGATACAGGACCGCGGGGATGGGCACCGGGGGAGGCGAGACGTACGGTGGGGCGATGGGCACTCGACGGCGGCGGCGGCGGAGTGCTGGCCGAGGGGGGCGGAGCGCGGCAATAAGAAGAGCGGCGGCGCGGCGGGGCTTTCCCCGCGCCGTGACGTAGAAAACCGCGCGGGAATCCCATCCCCCGCCTCCTTTCCCCCTCCCCCCCACCCCCCCATACCCCTCCCGGCACCGGGCGGGCAGGTGGCGGCGTGCCGGAGCCCGCCCCGGGCAGTGCGGGACGGGCGGGACGGGCGGGATGCGGGCACAGCGCCTCCCCTGCGGGACGAGGAATGGCGGGACGGGGGTGTGCGGGAACGGGGGGAGATGGGGGATTGGGAGCGCTGGGGGGAGAAGAGGTGGAAGGATGGGGTGTGCTTAGAGAAGGGGAGATGGAGGTAGGTGTGGGGTGGGCTTCTGGTAGGGCAAGAGAGGTAGAAGGATAGGGTGCGCTCAGGGAAGAGGAGATGGAGGTGTGAGGTGGGCTTCTGGTAGGGCAAGAGAGGTGGAGGGATGGGGTGTGCTCAGGCAAGAGGAGATGGAGACGTGAGGTGGGCTTCTGGTAGGGCAAGAGAGGTGGACGGAGGTGGGGGGGGGGGGCTCACGTCTCCGGGCAGAAGAGCTTTGTCAGGAGGTTCAGGATCTTCTGCCGCAGGTCCCACTTGTCGCCGATCCTGCGCAGCTGCAGGGCGCACTCCGCCACCACCTCCCGCTCTGCGGGGGACGACAAGCCGTCAGACACACGCACCGCCGCCTGCCCGCACGCAATTACCTTCAGTTTTAATGACATCTTGGCAATACTGTTTTGGGGTTCGTCTTTTTTTTTCATTTTTTCCCCCCTTTTCTCAGTATTGCCCATCACCACCACCATCCCCGGTACCCTCCCGGCGTTCACCCGGGTGGCGCTGCCCCCGCTCCGGGTGCTGGAGCCGGGGAGGGCAGCGGTCGTTGGGGGAGAACCCCCCCCTTGCCCCGAGTGTGTGTGTGTGTGTCCCCACCTCACCCCGCTCCCTTCACACACACCCCCCCGTCCCCCGGTACCTGCTGGAGCGGCGGGGGGCGTCGCTTTCCGTACGGTCCGACCGGGTAACATCGCGACGCCGGGATGTGGATACAGGACCGCGGGGATGGGCACCGGGGGAGGCGAGACGTACGGTGGGGCGATGGGCACTCGACGGCGGCGGCGGCGGAGTGCTGGCCGAGGGGGGCGGAGCGCGGCAATAAGAAGAGCGGCGGCGCGGCGGGGCTTTCCCCGCGCCGTGACGTAGAAAACCGCGCGGGAATCCCATCCCCCGCCTCCTTTCCCCCTCCCCCCCACCCCCCCATACCCCTCCCGGCACCGGGCGGGCAGGTGGCGGCGTGCCGGAGCCCGCCCCGGGCAGTGCGGGACGGGCGGGACGGGCGGGATGCGGGCACAGCGCCTCCCCTGCGGGACGAGGAATGGCGGGACGGGGGTGTGCGGGAACGGGGGGAGATGGGGGATTGGGAGCGCTGGGGGGAGAAGAGGTGGAAGGATGGGGTGTGCTTAGAGAAGGGGAGATGGAGGTAGGTGTGGGGTGGGCTTCTGGTAGGGCAAGAGAGGTAGAAGGATAGGGTGCGCTCAGGGAAGAGGAGATGGAGGTGTGAGGTGGGCTTCTGGTAGGGCAAGAGAGGTGGAGGGATGGGGTGTGCTCAGGCAAGAGGAGATGGAGACGTGAGGTGGGCTTCTGGTAGGGCAAGAGAGGTGGAGGGATGGGCTTTGCATCTTCTAGTCAGAGAGGTCATTGTGCTAGGCAAGAAGACATGGGAGAGCGGGCTGTGCTTTTGTGGCAGTCCAGGAGAGAGGGATGGGGTTGCACTTGCACCAAGGAAGAAGAGGTGGAAGGATGGGGTGTTCTTGGCCAAGCAGAAGAAAGGGATGGGGTGTGCTTGTGTAAGGGCGAGAAGACATGGGGGGATGGCTGTGCTTTTTCTTAACCAGGAGATGCTCCTGACACAGTGCTGTGGTATTATTCAAGGGTGACCTTGGCTTCGAACAAGCTATAGGGAAACAAGCTGGCCCATTTCATGGGTCATTTTCGACTTAGCGGCTCCCTCCCATTGCTGGATCCTCCCCGTGGCCGCGCGGTGCCCGCTCGGCGTGTCGCTGGCTGACACGCACCAGGGCAGGTTACCCGCACTGGCTGTAACCTTAGATGATGATCTTTACAAGAAACAGGAGCAGGAATTATGAAGTCACCCTTGTGACTTCGCGATTGCTGGATGGTGTTGGGAGAGCTGCCAGTGATAGGTGAGTCACTCATTAGCCTCCTGGCCCTCAGAGAGTTGATATTACTCGGTGTGGAGGCACATAGGATGGTCTTTTTAGGGAGCAATAGAAAACACCTTGATTTAAAGAAAGCACTGATGGGTCAGACATAACAAAGAACTGATTTGTGGCTGGAAGCCAGTAAATGGCCACCTCTCCCATCACAACACACCTCCAAGCAGGAAAAGACCCCGCAGTGTAATGCAGACCCATAAGGGGCTGTTGAGAATCTCCTTTCTGTGGGATAGGAGCCTCTGAAGTCAAGTGTCTAGAAATGCTGGCGACTCTGTGAGTTCACCAGCTCAGCTCAGCAACACTTTCTCCTGCATATTTCCTGGAAGTGATGCCACACCTGAAAGATGGCTGGGATTTCTCTCCCTGTGTAGGGAACCTTAGCCCTGCTAGAGAGCACAGAGCAAGACACAGCAGTGTCGTGGGGCTGGCATGTGGGACAGGCAGTGGTGCCAGATGATGGAGAAGGCATTTCTCAGGGTGAGGTGTCCAAATGAAGGCTACAGCTGGATGAGGCTTTTCCACAGCTATTCCCAAGACAGTGCCTGGGTGCTGGCATCCTGCGCCCCACCCCACTGTGTGTTCTCCTGGGCTGTGACGTGTCAGAGCAGCTCAGCTTGGCCTCGGAGGAGCTTCTGATGTATTTGAGGAGGTATTGCCTTCAACCCTTGCTCTTCAGCATATGGCATAGCGGCTTATTTGCTTGACTCGATGTGTTTAGAGTTGCGTTTCAGCCGTGAACACCCTTGTTTGTAACCTAGCTGCGGTCAGGGAGAGCTGCCCTTTGGCCACATCACTCCTTTCACATCATAAACGGTTTCTTCAAAACAAGTCCGTTGGGTTTTCCATGGCGGGAAGGCCGGTAAACAGCTGAGGAGCGTGTCAGGCTGTGTGATGTGTCATCCCTCTTGGTGGAGATGCTGTGGTCGGCAGCACGTGGTGCTCAGAGTTGCGCCTCACGGCCGTAGCCTGACGGCTGCTCCATAAATCACAGCAGGCCCTCCAGGACACCAGTGCAGGGGGCTGGGGGGGCTTACTGAGACCTCCATGTGTCCCCAGTGCCCTCAGTGCTCCGCAGTGCCAAATGCAGGGAAAGTGCCCCTGAACTCTGGCCGCAGGGAAGAGGCACGCACCAGTCCCTTGCGCTGCTGGGCACACACGTGTTATTTTGCTCATTTATTTTGCCTGTTTAGGCAGAGCCAGGGATGAGCTGGGGCTTGTTCTTCTTCGTGAATTTGGGGACAGAACTAGTACTTGGGCGAGTTATTTAAATCTGGGGCCAAAACGAAATGAACCTCGACGCTGTCCTGCTTAGCAACACTTCCTCACCCAAAAGGGGGGACAATCTTTAAAGGCAACTTCTCCCTGTACCTCTGCAGCAGCACCGAAAGATGGGACCTTCTTCTGTGCGTGGGGGGGAGAGGAGATGCTTTCCCTGCCAGGGCAGCTCGGCACAAACCGGTCATGGGAATTAATTTATCTCCTTGATTTTGTTTTAAAATAGTATTAGGGGTAGTAAGAACAGTGTGGGGCTTTAGTGTACAGTGAAGAGTAATAGACAGACCCGCCTGTGACCCAGAGTATGTGAAGTGCCCACCCCTGCTGAGTGCCCCCCCACCACTGCAGCCAGAGCCCTGTGTGTGAGCGCAGGGGTGTAAGGCAGGACGCCCCACTGCTGAGAGGGGACCTGGCTTGTCACCACCTCGGGACCTGGACCACCACCCCGCAGGTTTTTACTGGTGTGTGACAGATTAGAGCCCGTTACGGCGGGAGCTGCACACGGCGATTGCACATGCTGCCAATTATAGGATTGCACAACAGGGGCAGAGCGAAAAGGAAAAAAAGCCCATTGTGGTTTCAAGGCACCAGCGAGCTCTGACTTTTTTTTGTTGTTTTGTTTCAGTTCCCTTAAATAAAGCAGTGTAGCTGCAGGAAGCACAGGCCTCTGGGAAGCTGCTCTACTAGAGCAGCCACAAAAGCTGTTTCTTGCCGTTGGCTCCACCAAGTAGGACCACGGGTCCCCAGGTGGGCACAGCCATGGCAGGGAGCAGAGCAGCACCCCAAGGAGCAGGAGTACCTCGGAGCACTCTTCCAGTTTATTTGTGTTTAAGATCATTTAAAGTTTAGCACAATTACACAGCTGAGAAGAGAGACTCATCTTGAGGTAACATGCCCCGAGCTTGGCTGGTGTCTGGGTGATGTGGTCTAACCAGGAACATGTTATTGAAAGCCAACACGTGACAGACTCCCAGTATGAATAGCACCAGCGGGCAGGCTTGCTGAAAGGAAATCGAATGTTGCAGAAACGAAATCAAGAGTAGGAGAGAAAGGAAACTGAGCTGTTTTATCTCTGAACTCAGATTTTTGTGCTGAATCAGCTTCAAGATGGTTCCACGGTAATCTCTTGGTTATTGGAGTTCGTCTTCTCATCTCCCCCAGGCTGCCTGGTGTTGACAGCCCCTGTGTTAGCTGAGAAGCTGTTTGTGTGTGTCTCTCTCTCTCCCTTTTCCCGTTTCTGCAGCCCGCAGGGTCGGCAGTTCCTGTTGATCCCCGCAGGTCCCGGCACCCCAGCAGGAAACGCGGCTCCATTGTCAGGAGCACAAACCAAAGGTCATTTCGGGAAAGCGCGGGAGGGTGCGGCCGCCCAGAGCGAGGGTGATGATGGCCTCGGCAGGCTTTTTTTGCTTCTTGTTTTTTTTTGCTTTTGTTTTTTTTTTTTTCCATTTCTTAAATCAGTCTCTAAACTCTCTTTTGTTTGCTCTCCTCTGGTGCCTTTCCTCCAGGAATCTCTCTCACCGTTGTAAGCAAAGCTTCATAAATCCTCAAGTGTCAAGCATTAATCTCAACCTCACTTTTCGAGGAAACAGCTTTGTTCTGTGTTAGCGATTTTCTGGTGGCAACTGCGGCAAAGCCTGGGCCTCCAGCAGCTGCTGCTGCTGCTGAGCTGACGATGCCTCCACTACGGTGAGGGAAGAGGTTAATGCAGATTTATACAGTTACGTGAGATATTGCAGCTAATTCGACTTTGAGTTGCTGATATGATCCAGCACCAGTCAGGAAAAGAAACTAAGGAGACCTGCCTGCCTGCTGCTCAGCTGTAACCCCCAATTGCATGGACTTTACCTGCTGTTTAAATATTACCTAATGGCCCTACCACTAATTCTTAGACACTCCCTAGTGCAATTCTCTCTCACCTGCTTCCTTTATAAGTTTAAACATATAATCTTCCCAGCAAAACTGCATGGCTTGTTCATATATTGCAGCATTCTGTCACTGGCAGAGAGGTGAACACCCAGCTTTTCCTCTGCCACCACCAGTGTGCCAAACAGGCTGCATGAACTAATTATTTCCAAAATGCTTCTGAAAGATGGCTCGTGTGTGTCCAATCTGGTGCCCATCAAAGCCAGGCTGGGCAAAGTGGTTTTCCTACTGACAGCAGTAATATTTGGTTGAGGATGGGGTTGGATAGCAGAGCCCCTCCTTGATACAGCTGGACTGTTAGAGGGTTTATTACAACTGTGTGCTCTTTGGTCAAGGAGTAGCTGGGAGGAAGCTAGTTGATAGAATTTTCCTCGTCTTAGGTTATTACACAGTCAATTCTAAATGAGCTGGGCCAGATTACCTGGTGAGCTGAATTTTCTGTGAAAGCAGAAAGCGAACACACTGAAGGTGGCTCCTCGTAAGGTCATTCCCAATTTAGCCTGTTGCCAAAAAGCTTTCTAAAGAGCTAAAAAAGAATATAAGATAGTGCAAATTTCACTATGTAATTAAGTGGGTTTTAGCACTCATGAAGGCGGCAATATCCTCAATAAAGGCCGATCTTTGCCACTGCTATCCAGATGAAGTAGGTATTAGTAAAGTAAATATTGGCCTTGATGACTGTTTATGAGGCTGGTGGAGTGTTTGCTGAAGAACTCTCCTCCGTGTGTGTAGGTGTCTTTGCAAACGCCAATCATACCATTAGCACAGCTGCGCCATCACTGCTGGGCTTTTAGAAGTCCTTCCTTGGATGGTGACTATGGTTATTTTCTATCTTGCTATCTTTGTTGAGAATTTGAATGTGCTCGCTCCATTTCTGGAATTCATCATTGCTTGCTGGTCTGCCAGATCTTTTTCAGGCGCTGGCTACCTCCTGTTTCCCCTGTTCCTTACGCCTCCTCTGCACTTTGTCAGAATTTTTGTGTATAGTCAATGCAGCAGATGTGGGATTGAAAAAAGAA